AAACTTTTAACAACACTGCGTGATTTGTAACGAGAACATGGAATTTGTCCAACAGAGCAAATAAGAACTCATCTAAAATATTTTACATGTTTTTTTGCTTTCGATTTTACGAAATCACAAGCCTCTTCTTAGATACTTCTAATTTGAATACAGAGAAAGCGTTGACTGGATGCTGACCGAAAGACATCAACTGCAGCTTTCCCTCCAATCCACCTGTGTGAAGCAGCTTGCCAATGCTTACCCCTGCACAGCCAGAGCTCCTAATGAATGTGTCCTCCTATCCAACAGTCGGACTTTGGGCAGTGAAAGCGTCACCGCTTTGTGGCATGTGAGTACAGAATAGTGCGATACCTGCTATCTGGCATAAATAAATTGTTTGGTGGATTATAACGCAGGCGATGATGTGCGTGTGGAGGGCGACATGTTTCGTGTGGATGGTGATTGGATAGTGATTTGAGGTGGTCTGGACACGATCAGCTGCACACTGGAGGATGATGTTCACAAGAGTTGACTGCCATTGAACCCCACACAACATCCACTTTCTCACTCCCTTTCACCACTTTGGCCGCTGAACATCAATTTGGCGGTATGGTGTGTGTGTGTGTGTGTTTGTTTGTGGTGCTCTTTTCATCCTCCCCTTAAACGCCGACCACATTCAGATATGGCGATTGGTAACTTGTGGCTGCCAAACCTGCCCATCTTACTGACGTTAATTTCAGTAGCAGAAAATGCTGCAGGTTTAACGCACTTCAAAGTAAATACTTGTTTCAGTCATCGTTTCTAACCAAGGAGGCTACTCTCCACCACTTGCGTGCTTCATTCATTGAAAATGCAGTCTCACTGTGAAAAGTGACGAGAGGTGATGAGTTCGCTATCTGCTTCTTTCCTATTTGTCATTTACTACCGTTAAGCAAGCATCAACATAAGGTGATAGGAATGACATGCGTGGAAGAAAGAGATGCTGTTTAAGCCGTTTTTTAACATAGACTGGGTTGGTAGTGTGAAAGTGAGGGGAGACAGTGCAATGGTGATGTAACAGGTGACATTTACTACTACTTACTAATCATAGGCACCTTTACAACGTTTTCGGCAAAATAGTTGTAAAATCCACCAACTAAGAGCAGCATTTTTATTTTGCGTTTTTATCAAGTAGCTGGTTTACCAGATATTAAAAACGGTCAGGTGTTCATAGAGAAGGCACAAGCATGCAAAGGATTGCACTTTACTTTTTGGAAAAAACATCATTTGCAGACAAGCCAACACCAAATTTAATCGCAATGCCTTAAGTACCCAAGGCTGGAACTACCTACTGGTCCCTCAGCAGTTGCGAACCTGTCCATTGCAATAAGTGGGATGGAAATTGTCTAATATATGGATGAAGAGGTGATAAACAGAATGCGCCTTTGCAAAGGAGGACTAGGGTGATATTATTTCCCTCCTTACATTTTACATTCCTTACTGCATAAGGAGTGCAAAGAGAGTATCGGGAACCACACCATTTCTCCAGTCTGTGCTGATATCCGTATAAAGATATGGCAAAATGCTTGAGAACATTTTGTTTTTACGTAAGGAGAAGAAAGTGCCTTGGCAATCATAAGCAGTTATGAGAACCATGATATGAAGAGAGACGGTGGCTGCCCTGGAGGAAGGAAATCGGAGTTAAGATGGCGAGAGAGAGGGTAAG